TACAACTTCGCACGAACTTAACATTTACTTTGAATCTGGCTATAACCTTCATTTGAAGGAATGAACAAAAAAATGTGAGGATAACCAGCCTAGCCTGGAGTAGGAAGCAATTTTCCATTTTTTGACTCCGATTCACGAGTTATTCATCCAGAATGTAATTTTTATTTTATAGGATCTCACTAAAGTCAATAAAATTTTAGGCAAATGAATGTCCTTCCACTATAAAGGTTGAAGCGAAAGTCTTTTTGCAAAAAGGTGCAAATATGGATGACTGAAAACCGGTTTTCTTTCATCACACGGTACCGTAATTTTATTTATGATTGCCTCTTCGACACTGTTGCCTTTTTTTCCTGAAAAGTTCCTACTCATCCCAGTGCAAAATATTCCATAAATTAATAACCCCAATGAAGCCAAATTTTGCAGCTGGGAACTTTTTCGATAAGTTTTCCAAAATTTAATTAAAAATCTGCAGTCTGGCGAAGTCCTGATTAGTGCGGCAGTAGTGGTCGTTTCCAGTTGCAAAAATTAAATTCTCTAATGATACAGATCAGTGCTGCATATCGAAACTAAAAACCCAAAAGTGAAGATTTGATGTATAATCCGAAAAAACAGCTGCAGCAAAGTCAGATGAGGTGGTGCATACACTGCGAGTGCATACATCACCGCTAAATATCGAAACTAGAGCTATGGCACTTCAGGAAAATTATTTTTCAATTAGGCTTTTCTAATGCAACAATTAAAATTTGTTTCAAAAACAGTGTGAGTTAGTGGAGTGGAGTGATAGGAATCATTTGAATGGCTATCATTGCTTTGCTGATGTATCACAAAGATTTATCATCATGATACGATGATGTGATGTGTTAATATTTGTCTTGCTGATAAGAATTCGTGATATGGTGCCGAGAAAAAAAAGAATAAAAAAATCCCAAGATTTCAGCATCTGTTAACAACAAAACACAGTTTCAAGAATAAGTGGCGATTTGTAAATAAAAAAAAGTGAAATCCATGGAAATTGTTGTAAAAAATAATTTACCTGTCTCTTCTTGGGTTTCACAAGTGGACGACTTTGCCCGTTCATCTTATGGTACAGACCACATGCATTGCAAAGGTAATGGCCAGCACCATCTCTTCGCCATAAGGGGGTCTGTACGACGCCACAGTTCACACATTCCCGTCTTTCTGCTGCAAGATGAGCAATAATTGCAGCAGATAACTTCCGGACGATTAGGAAGCCAGTAAACAACGCAGCTTGGCATCGGATGAAAAACCCTAGTCCAAAATTTATACTGATGGTTGTCAATATATCTATTTTTTCTGGGTCTAAAAGCTGTCCCAAATGAAGGCAAGATAACTGTTAACTGACACGTAGCATTTCTGGATTTGGCACGAACTGCAGCTGCAGCACCACCGGATGTTCTAGATGAGGCAGAGCCAGATGAAGAGCAAGCTGTTGTAGGAACAGTCAGTCGACTTTGGGCTGCCAGTAAATTCGCACCATGCAATGAATTATAGTAGTCTGTGGTCGAATAAGCAGGATAGTTCGGAGAAAAAAAGTTTTGTGTTGTTGTTTGATTCTGTGCTGCAAAATCAAATTAAATATCTTCATTCGCAACAGGACACATGTTACAAGCACAAAAATTAAAAGATGCACAGTCAAACCACTAATTTACAATTTTTGCATAGCGCATGGGTACACAAACACAACCTCCAGGCAACTACCCCGAAAAATTGTCCTTTATTTCATGACTTGGCGTGAAAATGCGCCCAAACGTATGTCATTTTCAACATGGAAGAATTAAACTTTTACTGGTAATTATGGAATAGTCTGAAACTTATCGTTTGCCTTGAAATTGTAGCCGAGTCAATTTTTGAAAGAAACTGTGAACGAACCGACAAGCATCTGAGTGGCTGGATCAGTAATAACAGTGGTCGGCTGTGTGAAGCTCAGTTCAGTGGTATTGGAGGAGCAGGGCGAAGCGCCGGCAATTGTCGCCGTAACTGAAGAATTCGCTGCAGCGCTCGGATAAGGCCATGTCTGGAAGAAGAAGCTGGAATAAAACTGGCCACCTGTGCCTGAAAATTATTACAGTTAGACGGGAATTTCTCTTTATTCAGCACGCGATGAAAGTTTTTTGTAGACTGTTGCGTTTTTAGTGACAGAATTAAATGGTAGAAATTCTCATACCGTAACTGTCCGGCATTTTGGGGGTCCCTTGATAATATAATTGACCATTTGGTGCGGCATTCGTATAAAATGTCGACGGTTTGATCGGGGAGAACACCTATAAAACGAACTGAACGCACGTAAACACCGGAAAACTCCCAAGCCGTTGAGCAGTTTGACAAATTGCTGCTAAAACAATTTGCATGAATTTAAGAGTTTGCATGAAGCAATTTGCACGGACAGAAGAAACTTCTCGAATAATTTGTACTGTCTTGTAACACCATCAAGTGATTTACTCTGCTCATTCCGATGAAATATTGAAAAGCCTTATCATAGCAAATGAAGCATACCGAGTCATCATTTTGAGCAGGATCGGTAGCATCTTGAGTCTGATTGCTCAAATGCAAGGCACTGAGATCAGCAACGGGAACGCTTTGATCAGCATCGATAACTGTTTCTTGTAAAGGCTGGATCGGTTGGTAAAGTTCCCCAGGATGGCCCACATTTGGTTGAAATTTGTATTCCATTTAAAAAAGGAGCTAAGTAAGAAAACAGCACAGAGAGCCGCCCGAATCCTGCCTTCAGCAGCGTAACACTCTGCTTTGTCCAAACTTATTTCTCTATCTGAAATAAAAAATTGTTAAGGTACTCACTCAAAACTGTTTTCGCTGGAGAATCATGAGCGCAGTGTATTTTTGACAAACAATGAATTGTTTAAGGGTACGCTGCACAGCTCTTTGCAGGAATGCGGCTGTGGCTAACAGCTTTTTGAGAGAACCATTACATTTTGCTATTCGATCTGGTTTAAACTGTTTCCGGTCTATATAACACGCTGGGCATTTATCCAATCTCTAGCGTCCATCCCAAAAGCTCTGCGAGGACGATAAGGAGTCGAGGAAATGGAAGGGGAGGAAAAGTGAGTGCTGTAATCCGAGTAACAGAGACTGTTTTCGCTTGCATAGGATGTAAAATTCGAGCAGATTTTCCAGAAGCTGTTCAGCTGCATTTTTAGGAAAAGTGTGGAAAAATATTCAGAACGCCGAGTTGTTAATTTTACCATCTACTTTACTAGCATAACTAAAATGCAAGTTTTTAAAAAATGTATGCTTGGAGAACACGTAAACTGCAGTTCAGAAATGAGGAAGTGTGCGGCATGTAATTTACAAATGGGATGCGGTAACAAATCGCACGCACCTAGTTTGCCAGTGAGATCAAGTGTTTTTTCACAGCTTCCCTACAGATACTTGTTACTAAGTCTTTTCGGTTAGGTATTTCTAGCTAATGTGCATCAAATTCGGACTAGTTATTACCACTACTTCTATTATCATAATACGTGTCATACACAAACTGTCAATTCCAAATTGCACCGTATTTGAGATGAGAGGGAATTGAAAGCTGTTTTCACATACATTTACCCAAACAAGGTCTTAAACCATGCATACAAGCACTCTAATTGCTTTGGTTGTAAAGTAGCAAAATTGTAAGCGCCAAATTGCACATGCCGTATGTGAGACGAAAGAAATGTGGAAGCTGTTTCTAAGCGCAACTACTCAAATACAGTCGTGAACTATGGTCAAAAAAATGCTTTGGTTACGGAACTACAAAGCTGCCAGTGTCGTGTTCCATTTGTCCGTATGTGAAATGTGGAAACAAATGAGAGCACATTTGAGGTTTACGGATTCACACAGGGATAGGAAACATAATAAAAAAAGAAACATAAAATTACAGCCTTCTGCTTTCGAACTTGTATAGTACCAATCCGAACTTTGATGCTTCCATACTTGGGATGTGGGCAGGCACGAAAACCAAATTTAAATACCTTGGGCCGCTTATGAACATCTTTGTAAAGTTTCAGCTTTCTAACCTGTGTGGTTTTTGAAATAGTTTTTCCGCCAAAATATCATTTAAGGGCCCACGTGTAAGAATTAGAAGGATGTGAACATCATTTTACGCCTAGAGACTTATTTACAGTGCTAGAGTAACTTGACAAAGCTCCAGTGATTTTATGTCTGGAGATTGAAATATGCAGACAGACATTACTCACTCACTCACACACACACACACTCACACACACACACACACAATCACACACACACACACACACACACACACACA